GAAGTCAAATGATCAACTTGCAGATATTTTCACCAAGTCTCTCACTGGTCCTCGTATTAGCTACATATGTAACAAGCTCGGTACATATGATTTATATGCACCAGCTTGAGGGGGAGTGTTAGAATAGTTATGTGAATATATGTAATTAGTCCTAGTCCCTTACGTAATAAGAGTAGGTCATGTGTTATGCATACACATAAATAGCGCTCATTGTAACATAGAATAACAATCAATAATATTTTCTCTCGTGCTTTCTCACATATATAATCTTAGTTCAAATGTGTGTGCATGCATGAGAATATCATCTATTCCATCTCTGCTTCCTTGATTAATATCAACTCAAGATTTGCTTTGAAAATCTTGTAAGAACCACTGTTTTCCCCTTCTACAAGGATACACACGCCACCAAACAAAAGGAGACAACTCTAGAGGGTGATAGTTACTCCCTTCTTTCAAATTTGAATGAAACTCTTCTCATTTTGGGATGTTCCAAAATGTTGCATCATTTCATTTCTATACAACTTTCACCACCTTTATGAATTCAAATTCATTAAAATATGCATTTTTAAATTTTGATATAAAGCTTTCTGTATAAAATATCACAACTTACTTTTCAAACTATCACTTTAATATTCTTCTTCCATTATCACTATTATAATATAAGTCAAATTAATATCTTAAACTTCACATAAATTGATATTTTACGTTCCACTGATGTTCTAGATCACTAGCGTTATGAATTTCTAGGCACCTTGAGTTCATTTTAGCGAAAGCAATAGTTAGGGTAATATATATAACGCAGCTCCTAAGCTGAACATCAGACATATAAAACACTAATAAGAAGAAGCACTCACTTTCAATAGCAGGATTACTGAACAATGGAAAGTCTTCCTCCAGCCCAATTACAAAGACCTTTTGGGTTCGACAGAAATCAATTATGAGCTCCTTCCATAGCTGTATCTGCTTCTCCCTAGTTTCCCTTACAGGCTGCAAACTAAGGAAAGAAGAAAAATTATCCTATGTGCAAACTACGAATCTTCTAATATTGCTCGAAGAAAAGTTTAATTTAATGCACAACAAATAAAGACAATCATTTTTTTTGTGAGAAACCATCTTAAATCCCATTGAAAGATATGTTACCACCATGCTTAAAGCTACAAGTCAACATTTCACATATAGGCGAAAGAATGTCATTTTCTTTTGCTTGTACACCATCAGATGTTAAACTGAAATTCTCCACTTTCGAGAAAAGAATCCTACGGTGTTAGCTTCATTACATCCTAATTATGGGATCCAAGATCGAAGATTCAAAAAATCCAGCAGAATTCTTAGACCATATATAACTGTAATATTTATCATTTACCTTGACTTAAACATGCTCGAAAAGTTTGAACTTTCACATTTCAATAAACACAATTTGTTTGATAAATCATTACTATATAACAACGTTAATTTTTTTCCACAAGATTGAAGACTATATTACAAAATCCAAGAAGAGAAAAATGATTTTTTTTTTTGCTCTAACTATCTGAAGTTTGATTCATGGGCAAAGGCCTAATTGCTGTTTTCAACTACCATATAAAAGTATAAAACATTGATTAATTAAAGATTTGATGATTGCATAATGGCTAAAGTAAGTGGAAATTACTTCTATATGATTTTTAGTCTTCTTTTGATAAGTAAGAAGAGATACTTTTGTCTTGGCAATAAATATATGACAAACAAAGAGCAGAGCTATGCAAAGGATAGACTATCAGAAAACTGTCAAATATGTCACTAGGGTTAGTGTTGAAGTGGGAAGATAAAGTTAAACTAGATAGAATTGTAGGTTGTTTGGCAACTCTATTTATAAAACTAAAAACAAGCTTCCCTAACATGATAAAAGGTTGGACTTACACATGGAGGTGAAACAATAAAAAAAACTGTTAATATACTATGAAAATCTTATATGTTACAGATTAAATGGAAAAACATGTTTTCATCTACCCAAGAAAAGGCTGGATAGCAGATGAATGGAACAGGTATCGGAAGTGCTTAATAATTACTTGATAACAACCATTAGCTTATAAGAAATCCATAAAACATTCATGCTTGGTAGTTTCCAGTTTTTAAGATACAGCAATAAAAAAGCAATCCAAACTAAATTTCTGCAGGTAGATCTAAATGATTTGTCATCCAAATGTTGAGACTACGACTGCATCCCCTGATTAGAACCTTTCTCAAGCAATTTTACTTTCTCCTCATAAGCAAATGTATACATCCACCATGCACCATACCAAATTCAGTGACTCATACAGCCAACCTCCACTGATTTGGGAAATTGGGATTAAGGTGTAGTTGATTGATATCTACTGCTGTCAAAGTGCAGGTTCATGACCCCGTCCAAGAAAAGGTTTTCCATCATATGTTTTGACCAGACGTGTTCAAATATGGCAAGTATACATATGGAGACATGGAAATAAGGGAAAGAGTAAATTACGTGAAGTAAGGTGGATAGTTGAAGAAGTTAGGCAGCTTGAATTCAACCAGCTTCTGCATCTTTCTTGAATTACTTCCTTCTCTGCCTTGGCTGCTCTTTCAAAAAATACCCCCTTGTGATAATAAAGACATAGAAAGAAAGGAAGGAAGGAAGCAAGGAATAGAATAATATCACCAAAATTAACCTGATACTAGTGGTGGCAAATGGCAGGTTGGATTGGATTTGGACGGGTTCAAAACAAACAACAATGACAACTACGGCTCAAGATCGAGCTAAAAATGAGTTTAAATAAAAAAGGGTCATAATCCAATCTGTCCTTATTTATACAGGTTAAATACGGGCTGGTTTGTGAATAATTCTGGTCCAACCAACATTTTAAAGATTAAATTTACCAAAAAAACAAAAAGCCAAGTCTGAATTCTTTCTGGCCCCAAACAGAAGGAAATTTTGAAATACAAAAATATATGTGTACTGCTTGACATTGTTAAAATAGCATTACAAACAACTACATACAAGGTTTAGTTACATCGAAGGTTCTTTCTTCCTACATATCAGATATCAATTTGTTGTCCGGAACTTGGCTTATTTGCATGACGAATTTGAAACTAAGTTCAGGTGATATATGTCGTTTTGGTCCAAGATGGAAGTGATATATCGATATTTAGAATACGCTGATACTCTGACCTTGTGATTTAGTCCAGGAACAGCCATAGAATTCCATATATTATACAAGTCCAACAATACATTAATTTTGTTCAGTCATAGAGTATTATAAATGTATGTTTTCACGAAGATTTAGAATACTCTATGACTCTGAACAATCAAAAGTGAGGTTAGACTATATGGAATTCAATAGCTCTTCCTGGAGTCTGGGAGTTAAAGATTGGAATTTCGAAAGCTCTGTCAACATTTGTAANCGAGGTTAGACTATATGGAATTCAATGGCTCTTCCTGGAGTCTGGGAGTTAAAGATTGGAATTTTGAAAGCTCTGTCAACATTTGTAAAGGGAGCAAAATGCAGCGTTTCTATTTTACTTCAGGGATAGAACCAGGAATAGGTAAAGCCGATCAGCATCAGAGGGCACTTCATGATCAGAGCAACTAATAATTTGAATAATGATTTCTCAAGAGAAAGCAGTTTCTACTTCCTCCATACACATCCAGAAAATAAAATAAAAAAACAAATCTTTTTAGAAAATTTGCATCTGGGGTATCTTTAATACTAATGTAAACGAAAAACAAAGATGAAGAGTACATACTTCAGCGAGCCAACAACTCCGTCGTATATGGAGAAATTCAGAAAGTCAAATCCAAGACTCACCCCAAATTCGAAAAAAAATTGTCGGATGGCAAATGACCCTGAAACTAAAAATATCAAAAAAAATTAAAAGAATAATCAAATTCCTAATTGTAGTTCGAGATTAAAATATTGTTATGAGTAAACCTATGACTTTCAATATTATAAGCTTGTTATTGTAGAGAGCATAGAATAACCTGAGAATGATAGATGAAGACTCGGTGATGAAGAGAAGCTCAGGGAGAGACCAGTCTAACTGTAACTTTGGATCAAAGTTAAAATTGAGTCCTTTAATAGGTTTATTTTGGGGTTGTTCGTAATAATAATGATAAAAAGTGGGGACCTCGTAAGAACAAACTAAGAAAATTGTAAAAATGCAAACAAGCCCAAAAAGTTATAACAGATGGATTAACTGGCCCCAAGGGCTTTTTGTTCAGTTCTAATGGAAAAATAATCAAATTTGTCACAGCAAATGAGATTTAAGCCCAAAAATTGTTATAATTTTATTTGACTAACTTATAATCTTACCAATCACTCTGATTAAAATATACATAAGGCTTTTTACTGATGGGATAAGAATAGTAATTTCGAAATAAAATATATTGATATTTTTGTCTGGATATAAGTAGTTT